GTGTACCCTGGACCTCGAGGGACGTGCCGGGCAGCCGGGCCCTCCTGGCCAGGGTGTGGTCCCCTGGAGGCCACAGCGATCCTGGCCGGTCCCCTAGCCCCAGGCAGGTGGCCAGGGGCTCACCCTGGTGTAGGTGTTGAAGCTCTGCAGGATGTCCCAGCCCCAGTCCTGGTACTTGCGGTCACCCGTGAAGCGGTACAGGTAGAACAGGCTCTCCACCGTCTCGGGCCGCAGCAGGTTGTGTCTGTCGGCCGCCTGGGGAGGAGCACGAGCTTTGGGTGAGCCCCGGCTGTGCTGCGCCGCGCCGCGGCCCCTAAGCCCGCCCCGGCCTGGCCCACCTTCACCAGCACGTCCTTCTGGGCCGGCTGCGGGGACAGGTTGAAGTGCACGATCTCGGGGCTCAGCCCAGTCTCCATCTGACGGTTCATCTGGTAGCAGGTGTCCATGAGCGCCCGGGCCAGCTCCATGTGGTCAGCGGGCAGGCCATGGTGGGCGCCCAGAGCCAGTGTCCCTGGCAGGAAGCACACCAGGTGGTCCTGAAATCAGAGGGTCTCCTCACCACCAGGGAGCCTGCAGCCGCACGGGCTCCACACTGGGTCCAGCAACATCTCAGGCCACCCACATCCCCATGAGGCAGCAGGCCTGGGTGTGTGTGACATACACGGTGGCAGAGCACCTGGGGCTCACAGTGGGCAGGGGAGAAGCAGCCGGAAGGACCCCCGCCTCCCGGGTCTCCCCCCACTCCCTTCCCCAAACGCCAATGGAGCACAGGCTGCAGGAGGTGGGGGAGCTGGACCCCCTGGGGGAGAGGGAGGGCCCTGCGGGGAGGAGAGGGCTCTGGGGAAGGTGGCCTGGCACCCCACAGACCTCAGCTCCCCGGCTGTCACAGGACAGCCCAGGCCGGGCAGCCCACGTCCCCCTGTGACAGCTCACACTCCGCGGTCAGAAGTGCGTGGTTCCCTCTAACATCCAGACTCTTGGAGCCTTGATACGTCAAGGACAGAGGGAGGGGCCCGAAGCCCCCCAGACTGGACCCTCTGGACCGCCCTCCGGCTCACCATCTTGGCGCTGAAGCGGCCGTGGGTGAGCTCCCCCACGAAGGTGAGCTTCGTTGGCTCGGACCTGCGCAGCAGGTGCCTCTTGATTCCCTCCACAGCTTCGAGGTAGTCCTCCAGCAGCCTGTGGGGACCAGCAGGTCGTGTGTGCGCGCACCAGATGGGTGCACGGCCCCTGGGACCCGACGAGCCCACCCAGCTCTCTGGGGAATGCGGCCCCCACCCCCGATTCCGGGGCGCATCACCCCCGGGCTTGAGCCTGAGGCGAGTCCAGCTCCCGAAGGAGGCTCTATCTGCCCTCTGCACACTGTGGGACAGCTGCTGCACGGCTGTCCGGGGAAGCCTGCGTTTCACGTCAGAGTGAAAATGTGCGTGACGAGGCCCACAGGTGCCTGGCCGCCTTGCTCC